TTTTTTTTTTGTTGTTGCCTTGGTAGTTTACATGAGTGATAATAGATATTTACATAATTTGTTGATTAAAATATTACAAACTGAATTTGCCTTGTAAATTTGCCAGTAATGTCTCGAATTTTAGATAGAAATTTTGTGTTTATACTATGTAACTGTGCAGGGCAGTTCTCCATCGTCAAACATTATGCAATGCACATAGGGCACCATGTCCCAGGGGTAGGGCACCATAAGCCTGGGGCAGAGCACCAAGTTCCTGGGGTGGGACGCTATGTTCCTTAGACAGGGCACCACGAGCCTAGGAAGGAGCACCATGAGCCTGGGGCAGGACACCATGAGTCAGGGACAGGACACAGTGTTCCTGGGATGGGACACCATGAGCCTGAGGCAGGGCACTATGTTCCTGTGATGGGGCACCGTAAGCCTGGGATGAGACACCAAGAGCCTGGGATTGGACACCATGAGCCTGGGATAGGATGCCATGAGCCTGGGGCGGGACACCATGAGCCTGAGGCAAGGCACCATGTTCCCGGGATGGGACACCATGTTCCTGGGATGGGACACCATGTTCCCGGGATTGGACACTATGAGCCTGGAGCGGGACACCATGAGCCTGAGGCAGGGCACCATGTTCTTGGGATTGGACACCATAAGCCTGGGGTGGGACACCATAAGCCTGGGGTGGGACACCATTAGCCTGAGGCAGGGCACCATGAGTCAGGGACAGGGCACCACAAACCTGAAGCAGGGCACCATGAGCCTGGGGCAGGGCACCATGTTCCCGGGATGGGACACCATTAGCCTGAGGCAGGACACCATGAGTCAGGGGCAGGGCACGACTAATCAGGCATAAGCAATACACAGCCAAACAACTTTTTTGGATACAAGATTGACCTCTCTCCAGGAGGGGGCACCTGCCAGCGGTCTGTTTGATTATGCCTTCTGTGTGTGTTTGCAAAAATTGATCAGAAACATAAGAAAGCCTCTGAGCCTCTTCAGAAAGAAGGAGCTCCTCACCCTCTCTCTAAGGGAGAGCCCAGCCACCCCGAGGAAGCTCATTTTAGTTTCTGTTATCCACACTGAAGAAAATAATGCAACCATTTTTGGCATTCAATTAATCATATTTAGTCACTTTAACACATTTGTTTCATGTTATCACATTTGTTCTAATAGCAAATTGGTTTGATGGTTTTTAAACTTTCATTTTCAGACTGCTCAGAAATAACATCTTATCCTCTGCTTAGATAAAGGTTTTAATAAATACTTTTATGAGACACTTCTACATGAATGTTGTCTGCCACAGAACCATGTACATGTGGGTGGTGGTGACCCCAACCATTATTCCTCCTTTTGAAGGCTGCTACAGTTTTCTTTCCAAAAGGTTTAAAGTCAGTTTCTGGAATTGGATCAGAGACACAACATAAAACTGACTTTGTAAATGCAGCCAGACTCTTCAAGGCCAGGACTAGCCTTAGATGGGTGGAGAATGCCTGTCATCAGGTCCATGGAGCCTCTGCTGCTCTGAAGTCTATAGGGCTGGTTCCAGCAGCCGATCATGACAGCTTCTATTTCAAGGGTCTCTGAGCTGGTCCCACTGGGAGGAGAACCAACCAGTAGAAGCAGAACTCACAGATCATGGAACCAGTCAGCTTCAAGCTGGGTCAGACTGTATGGATTAATGTGACGTTAATGTGGACGTCTTCAGTAGAGAGTAGACAACTTGTGGCTCTGGTGGTTTTGCTTGTCGTTCTGCAAAGAAATTGTTTATAACTGTTTAGATCATTATTTAACTGATCATATTATGTTAGCCAAGTAGAAGAAAGTCTGAATGAGCGAGGGAGGGTCTAACCAGAACATTAGCCTTAGCAGGCAGTAGCAGATGGATACTGATCCGCATGACAACTTCTGAGGTGGAAACACCTCGGATTTGTAATTTAAGGTGAAAATGTTCATATGAAGGAAAATAGGTGGTTGGATGACCTGTAAACTTCCTCTGTCTGTGCTCTGACTGGACGTTCATAGAATATGTTCTGGATCTGGTTCAATGAATAGCCTATGTATTTACATACACCCTCTCTAATATCAGGTATATGTCTGAAAGCAGGTGGCAGAGATGTCGGGCCTCACCAATCCCCAACCAGTATTGGTAGATATCCCTAAGAGTTCTCAGACATTGGACCTTTGTAGACCTTTGTCCAACATTAAACCAGTTTGGATGTGTGTCACGTGGGAACAATATCCATCTGATCCAGATGTTTACTATCAACACTGGTATCGTCCCAAACAACAGCCTAGAAGTTACTGTCAGATTTCTTCTGTTTGAGAATCTTATGGTCAGATGACAAAGACTGAGCTTTTGGGTCACAATGTGAAGAAGTATGTATGGATCATTCAAAGTCAGAAAACTCTGAGCCTACTATGAGGCAGGGTGATGGTAGCATCACTTGTGTTCCACTTCCAATTTTTTTTGCGTTCCAATTTTTCAACCATTCCACTAATCGGTTGAAACACTGGGGCTTTACCTGTCCTGTTTATCCTGATGGCGACAGTCCCATATATGACATCATCTTGTTTCCTTACTGATGAATAAACGGGACCTGGGGATGTTCCTGCAACAGAAAGACAATCAGTTTGCTAGTTTACCTGAGCTGTTTTTGGTTGCCAAAGGACCGAGGTGGTGTAAAGGCTGGTTTATGCTCAGAAACCAGGTGGTCTGCGTGTCTGTCGTAGTGAT